AACTAACGACCAGAGACGTAACAATACCATAGAGTAAGTAATGAGGTGAACTTTTGGTTCCGTGACCATAGATACTTTTATTGTGCAGGCTTTCCTCTTTAAGTGAAAGTGTAACTATACTCTTCCAGTCTCTGTATTAGAAATTGCATTTTCTATGGGTCGGAGAATGTATAAGCTGGAGGAAGAGCTGAATACTGAGGAGGCATGGCCCACGTACGTGAAAGATTGGTCATGTCTGGAATAATTCTCCTCCTGGACGTAGGATTTTCTGGTGTTGGTTAAAAGTCCCTGATGACCGTTTCTCAGCAACTATAAGCCGTAGGGAGATCTGTTGCTTTCTGGAGCACTCAGAATGAACAACAAAGTCTTTTTGAAATGAAGCATCTGTGTAAGTTGTCGGATATACAATAGTGCTTAGCTTAATAGTTATTACTTAGTTTACTTGGTGATTTAATGATTATTTAATTTTCATAACAAGAAAGTTAAAAGTAATTCTTTTAAAGGCAACAGTTATGAGAACTCTGGTTGCGTAACTCGGTAAGAGTCGTAGGTGGTTCAATTGTTGTAGTATTGTTGACGTCAAGTTACTCGAACATTCGATATTTTTCTCGTTACCTTAACTGAGTAGTCAATTGGGTTTAAAAGTAATTCAATTTGAATCCGCCTGTGTGGACTTTGACAAGAAATGATAATTCCTTAGTTTTAGATACAACTGTGATATTCTATAGTGTAAATAATTTTTGTTGTACATAAATTTAACTTGTTATAAAAATATTATTTTAAAACAAGTGGATTGTATGCTGTCCATTTATTGTTCAAATTTATCACCAATAAGTTACAGACACCTACTGTACAAGAATCCTCAGCCCACTCATATACATAAAACCCTGACACAAGTGCAACTCATATGACTAAGGTATGTAAGGGTGGTGCTCAGCTTAGGGTGTGGAGAGTCTTTACAGGAACCAAAGGTATTTGGTGGACAGATTAGCAGAGCTCCGACTTCAGCTAAGGCTGCCTTTAGCTACAAGAGAGAGAGAGAGACATGAGGTGCAATTGATGGATGGTACCCACCAAAAGGAACTGATTCACAAGCAGGCATGATAGCAGGTGCTCACAGGGGAGAAGTGTTATTGGAGCACACTATTGAGCCAAAAGAGACATGACTTGCCATTCATGGATGGCATCCATCAACAGGAACTGTTTCGATTGGGCAATTTGGTGTGAGGTTCCACATTTTGTTGTGCAGCAAGATAGATGGAACCATTCATAACAACTGACTGTAAGCTGTAGCTGCTGTTGCTTAAGCTCTGGAAACTAGCAGAGTCTGAGCCAGGTCTGAACAATAACTCAGGAGAGCATAGGAGACAGTTCATGACAAAGAGTGTGATGGTCAGCTCAACTCTTTCATGATGGTTTGATGCTTAGTATTTGCCTATAAAGATACACAATTGAATAATGGAGCTCCTTATTGGTGCAGGAGCTAGTAAAACCCAATTGGAAACCCCTGTGTATCAGGCACTCCCAATGAAACTACTACACTATCCAGCTAACACTAACATTGTTCTGGTAGACAGTGGTATGCCAGACGTTAATTGGGAAGCATATCTCCAACTACGTCTAGGTCAGATGAACCACAGGATGAAGATGGTAATCACAGACCTGGGTTCTTGAATTGGCATCCTCAGGATGGTTGAACTGCAAAATCTCTCTGAGAGTGAATAGTATGATTTGCTGAAGATGAAATATGTGTAATTCTGAAACGTTCAATAAAGATGTTTACAATAGTTGCCATGGCTCTACTATTCATTATCAGACTTCGTTTTTCACCAAATGAATCAATTGCTCTCTGAGAGTTTATGGTAACATTCATCCAATGTTAGAAACAGTATATTTTACTTGTGTGCCTTACAGAGGAAGCCACTGACTTACATGTACAAAAGTGTTATGTCATAGTTTACTGTGGAAAAACTAGTGCATTGGTATTGTTACATCTGTGTTCGTTTGTTAATTTTTCGTAGAAATTCTTTCCGAGAAACTT